AAGGGGAGCTTCACGAATTTGATCAGTACAAGCCTGCGCTATGGGTAAGGAATAAAAAACACGATTTTTCAAACTTCGTATTTTCTGAACGGGCCCATAACTGCGCAAGCAAATAAAAATTGTAAACTTACCTAGAACAGGGTCTAACATATTGCACTGGAGAGAGGAGGTCGTATTTCTGCTTATTTTGCCAGAAAAGCAGTGCATCGAACAGGATGTCTACTGGTCCGGAATTTCCGGAAATAATGTTGATTTTTTAATGGCGTTCCGGAAAAACTGAAAAAGTGCGGCAATTTCGTAAGAAGGTCCGGAATTTTTTCCCTCATACCACGCGTGTTTTTTCAATAAAGCCTGAAAAGTATGCAATCCCATGCGCGTTGATTCTTACAGAACCATTTGCCTGCAAGATCGCGATTGTGCAGTTAGTTAATTTTAAAGCCACCAATGACATTTTGTGGTTACGTCTTTCAAATTTTCGGAAATTCTCGAATTTCATCAAATGAAGGCACTGAAAAGGTATTGAATTTCTAGGGAGCGTCCTGAAAAAGTAAGGTGATCTACTCCAGTTTCTCATCATTTCTTGCGTATCTTTCAGCGTCGAGTTCGAAAATGAAGAACAGTTTTTTCATTTGACTCGGTTTGTTAGCCACATGTACATCTTTTATAAAACACGACAGCTTGCTTACTCACAATGGGCCTGTTGCAAACTTTTGCTAGAGCAAAAATAAGAGTTGTTTCCTGTAGATAATGCCTCAAAAACCACGATGAGCGCATTGGCAAAGTCTGAAATGCACTTCGCAATGAATAACTTCGCAATTTGCGTAAGAAATTTGCAGTTTTTTGAGCTTCCCGCTTCAAAAACGATACTACGGCACAGGTGAACATTTTGTTAGAGGAGTCGCTCCATCGTCGGCAATATTCATCATGGCCGACGCTTGCGCAGTTCCGCGCGTAATTCGAGGAGAGTTCAAGATCAATCAAGGCGGGCGAGGAAAATATGAACGTAAACACGCCGATTGTTGTCTTAGTGTGTCTATTTGTTTGTCTAGTCCTGTTTAGGTGTTATCTCGTCCCATCACACGTGTTTTGGTGGATTGGCGTCGGCCATGATGAGTATTGCCGACGATGGAACGACTCCTCCATCAAAATGTTCACCTGTGCCGTAGTATCGTTTTTTAAGCGGGAAGCTCAAAAAACCGCAAATTTCTTACGCAGATTGTGAAGTTATGAGTGCATTTCAGACTTTGCCAATGCGCTCATCGTGGTTTTTGAGGCATTATCTACAGGAAACAACTCTTATTTTTGCTCTAGCAAAGTTTGCAACAGGCCCATTGGTGAACGTTACTAGTTCAAAAAGAAGGCAGTATTAGGCTTACGAAGAAGCATGCAGATATCTGAAATTTTAATTGGTGAACGTTTTGAGTTTACCCAGTCCAACAAGGAGGCAGTATTAGGCTTACGAAGAGGCATGCATTTATCTGAAATTTTGTTATGGCAGCCCGAAATCAGACCCTTTATCCCTGTTGGTCATTCATTTTGCTCTTTGGCAACTTCGTTCCTTTGATCTCCATCGGGAAGCCATACCATAAGTTGCAGTGTGTAATTCGGTGGGAGATAGGGGGAGGGGAGGGGGCTGTAGCCTGTTTTTTGAATTCCGCTAAAAACGGTCATGCTGTCGAGCAAAACATGGTACCATGTTGACGCCAACATGATTTCAACATGGTATTAACATGGGGCAACATGAGGAAAAAATCGCTCCGTTAATTTGGAGTATTCTTGTGCGACCTCCGTGGCGGATTCATTCCGGTGCCAACAAGGTATCACCTTGGTCAAAGTGACCAATATGGTACCAACATGGAGGCAATGTTGAGGACAAGTTGATACCAACATGATCGTTTTCAGTAGAAAAGTGATATGCCAGCTAGGCAATTTTGAACAAAATCTAGTCTCTGTCCTCTTAATTTTTGACCAAGGGTCTAAAACGTTAATTTTCGCGCGAATTCCAACCACCTCGCTTTTGGATCTAACGCACTGAAATAAAAGTTACGGGCTATATTGACGTACCGTCCGTTCCGGGCTCAGTGGCCGAAAGTTCCGTGGATGCTGAAGCCGTAGCCTTGATTGCTCCGGGTGCTACGCCCGGAACTTTCGGCCTCTGAGCCCGGAACGCAGACGGTATGTCTATATAGCCCGCAAGCACGGCTTCCACGGACGGAGTTTTTTTTCAGTTCGCTCCGCTCATGGCCGAGACAAAGGCATCATTCCAATACCTCCTAGACTGACCATACCTAAACATTTGTTTGGAGGTTAAGATACATCTGGTTGTAACGTTTTACACGGCTCTTGTGGGGAAAACCTGAAAAAAAGCTATTTTTGACTCCTTAAAGTAAAATTTGAAGGGGGAAGAATTTTTTCCCTTAAACTTCAAGTATGAAGGCCTTGAATGCATTAAACTTCGGCAGCTGGATCTGTTTTTGGGTGGAAAAAAAAATTAATAGTGGAAGTACATACTACATAGGGACTGCATCCGTCAAGGGTATGGAGAGGAGGTGAGGGGGATGTGGTTATCCACTTGAATGTTTTAAATTCTCTGCCAGGAAAGTGATTCAGTGGCAAATTTTTGGTATTTATGTTCCACGAATGTTACATTTCCAAGAGAAGATCACTTAAGTTCACCAGTCATCTCATGGTACTCTTAATTTCACTTATCCACCTCGTCCCATAAGGTCCTGTGTAAAAATTCACAACCTGATACACTAACACACTCACAGATGAGTTCCGAATGTTTAGGAATGGTCAGTCTAGGGGATATTGATCATTCTCAGGAAAGAAATGGACATTCAAATTTTACCTTGTCCGCCCTCGGAATGAGAGCCGTGCCATAATTCGACAGTTTATCCGTCGGATTTCGGCAACGTCGTATTTTCCGAATTCCAGGGACGAGGGCCGGGGGGACGAATAGGTGGCGGCATCTGGGCTACGTCACGGGGGCTCGGGGCGGCGGCGAATCGGAGGTGAGGTGTTGCGGGGTTATTTTTAGCCTCTGTCGAATGCAGCTTCAGAAGGCGTCGGACGCGGATCGCGAATCGGGGCTCCATCCGAATTCGAATCCTACCTCATCACCGCCGTCGGAGTGGCCAGTGGCTAGTGCGCGCGTTGCCGTGTCAGTGTGAGTGCGTGTGGGTTTTGTCCAAACGAGGCCAGTTGTAATGGTGCGCCATGGAACGCGATTCTGGTGGCTGGCGTTCTCGGCTCTCCTACTAGTGGTAGCTAGCAGCGTAGACGCTAAGAAGGCGGCGACCCCTGCGCCCGCACCCTCGCCCCCGCCCAAAGCTGGCCACAGCCACGGGGCCGGGGCTCCCCAGGGCGAAGCCAAGGCCTCGCCCGGCAAGGAAGCCGAACCCGTCATCGAGGAGGTCACCGCCAAACAGCTCGAAAGGGTCCTCAACGAGAAGGACTTTGTCGCCGTCTTCTGGTGTAAGTCTACCTCGCCTATTCCAAGCATGTTCCAACTCATCTCCAGCACACTCCGGTGCTGTGCGCAGCGGGATGATTGTTGAAGTTGATAGACAAAGCTATAGATAAAGAGAACGAAAAGGGTGAGTAGGGATCCTATTAGTGGAAGCGGGTGGTTGCAAAATGGACTAAGGAGGTAGGCAATAGACTGAGGGCCGATTGTTGAAATTGATAGACAAAGCTATAGACACACTGAAAAAAGTTATGGGCTTTATAGACATACCGCCCGTTCCGGGCTCTGAGTCCCGAAGTTCCGGATGCTGGAGCCGTAGCTTCGATTGCTCTGGGTGCTACACCCGAAACTTCCGGTCTCAGTGACCGAAAGTTCCGGGTGCTGGAGCCGTAGCTTCGATTGCTCTGGGTGCTACGCCCGGACTCAGTGGCCGAAAGTTCCGGGTGCTGAAGCCGCAGTTTCGATTGCTCTGGGTGCTACGTCCGAAACTTCCGGTCTCAGTGGCCGAAAGTTCCGGGTGCTGGAGCCGTAGCTTTGATTGCTCTGGGCGCTACGCCCGGAACTTCCGGTCTCAGTGGCCGAAAGTTCCGGGTGCTGAAGCCGCAGTTTCGATTGCTCTGGGTGCTACGTCCGAAACTTCCGGTCTCAGTGGCCGAAAGTTCCGGGTGCTGGAGCCGTAGCTTCGATTGCTCTGGGTGCTACACCCGGAACTTCCGACCTCTGAGCCCGGAACGCGAACGGTATGTCTATACAGCCCGTGAGTACGGCTTCCACGGCGGGTTTTGTTTTCGGTGCAAAGAGGACAAAAGGGATAAGGAGGGATCCTGTTGATGGTTGCAATGGACGAAGGAGGTAGGCAACAGACTAACTAACGGCAACCTACGAGAGACCCTATAGTTAGTCCATCATATCCTTTAGTCTCTAAAATCCTTCCATTTCAACCATTAGGATTGCTCCATACTCCCTATGTCTTCTTTGTCTATCAATTTCTGCAATCAGCCCGTGCGGTGGAAGGGTTATCTATGAACAGAGGAGGGGACTTAAAAGCAGAGTTAGAGAGCGGAAATCACTGAGCCCACGTGTGCCGACCACCGCCCCTTATCGTGATGTGGTTAGGCAACAAGTTGAGCAAAAAGATAGGAGACATCCACGCTCAAGTGCGCGGGGCTAAAGAGTTTGATCAGTCTGCACACACGGGGAGAAAAAGAACCATTTGACCGCGTTTAGCAGAAGAGAACCAAGCCACATTAGCTATTGCCAAATTTATTCGGGCAGTCTAATGTTTTTCATGGAAACGGTTGTGTGGATTTTTGTGCGAATTTCAGTGAATTTTATGCATAGTACGCAACAAATTCTTTTAAATCATTAAAGGTTTCCGCACAAACAGTCTCTTGAAAAAAATTGTGAATTGCCCAGTTAAAGGCAATAGCTCATAAGTTCCTGTCTGCTGAACGCGCGGTCCAATGGATGATTTGCACGCAAATTTTTTATTGCTTCATCTGAGAGTGCTTAACGAGCTGATTTCGCAGTGTTTTTTGTAATTTTTTTTGTAATGGGAAATAGTTTAAAAATTAATTTAAACGTGAGAAAATGGTCCGTCTAGCGACGTCATCTGGCGGCATTTCCTTTTTAAACACATGCGTATTTTTTTTACATTAGATCATTTAGCCATATCTCTTTCAAAAATTGCTCAATTTATGAACCAAGTGTATTCTCGTGCTAAGTTCACTCATAAGTTTCCACTCAACCACAAAATTCATCAAATTCTAGACACTTGCAAATTCTCCATTGCTCTCTTAAAATGTTCACAATGGATTTCAGGTTTTTTTCAAGATTTTGGCCGCATTTTTGCAGTGTTACTTTTGTGGCAAAAATTACCTCGGTTTCGGCGACAATGCAGTATTGTAATGGGGACCGAACTACGTGTTGCCATAAGAGAAACGCAGTAAAGACGGATAGAGAAGTAGCAGGGACCTGAAATACACGGTATAACCATCGCGATACTGTGAGAGGGACGATTCCTCTGGCTCCGGGCAGGCATATGGTTAGGCAACATGCAGATCGAAGATTGCAAAACGGAAGGCGTAGGTGTCGCTAGCTTCACGCGATTTAAGTGTAAAACTCAGTGATAACAATATTTGAGGTCTATTTTTACATTCAAATTACCCATATTTTTTCAATTTCGAAATTTTACGGGAGAAAATATGCGGCTACTTTAGCTCAAGATTACCCCTATCTAACTTTTTCCGCCAAAGGTGGTTTAATTGATCGATTCTGATTGATTCAGTCCATTTTTTATCGAATAACATTCTTATAAATCGTATTTAAATTAAATTATGAGTCATAATTATTATACTTAATGCAAAATTATTAAAAGTGCTCGACGAATTAAAATAATAGACTTTTTTTAAACTAGGTATATACTGACATAAGAGTCGAGGAAATTAATTTTCCTTTGTAACTCTTGATTTTTTTACAAAGAGAGAAATAAACCATCGCCGGAATACATGTACAAAAACCACGGAGGACTGTGGTTATTTTTCGTTTTTAATTAATAAATATCTAGGCTTCAACGATGTAAACTCCATAAATTAAACGTCATGTGCGATGGAGCTCCGTCGGTCTAACGAGAAATCCAGCCTTGGATATAGTGTTTTTCCCCAGGGTCGCAGAACTGAAATGATGAGAATTAAGTTTTTACTCAGCGTTGATAAAATAGTACTTATTCGTTATTATGTTTGCCAAATTTTACCAACCATTCATTCCTGTTAGTGAGGATTAGACCCGGAAACTTCCGAGCCGAAAATTAAGTTTTTGACACTCGCCATCAACTCTCCATGCCCACACTTGTCGCTGAGGGCGTATATATATAAGTTTGGCATTTTCTGTTCGTATATTTACCATTAACGTGGTTTTCATTATAATTTGTATCCCACAAGTCCCTCCCCCCTCCCATGCGGTGTGCAGTGTCGCCAATTAATGTGGGGTGTTTTTGATACGGACGACTTGCTGGCGTCAAATTATGCGCGTCCATTCGTCAATTCAAGTCGAGCGTCCAGCTCGATCGTTTGAGCGACGTTTTCAATTTGGGCGCAAGAAAAATGAGGGAGAGGAAGTCTTGACCCCCCCCCCCCTTGGGGCTGCCGCCGCCGCGCCCGCGTTTTACGTCGGTGGTGCCAAAAAACACACCTAGCACGCCGGCCGCACCGTAGGCGCAGCTCGAATTTTTACGGCCCAAGACTGAGGTTTCGCACGTTCAAAATACTTGAATTCGGGACGGTATGAATTAGAGCTGAAATTCGCACCCACGCGACGCAGATACTGGCACTAAGTGGTAAATAACATTAATAAATCCGGAGAAAACCCAAAAAAGTAGGGACGATTGAAAATTCTCGAAAGTTTAGGCAAATAAATCTGAAGTTTTGTTTTTTGTTGTTTTTTCTTTAATGGAGATGTTGCATGTGTGAGGAATTTGCGATTTGACTGTTGATTCTTACGTGAAAGTTCGCGAGAAACACGATGGTGCCACTGGTTTTCTCTGAAATCAACTCCCAAACTCAAAAAAAGCTCTCAAGTTGAGGCCAAAATGGAGGGGATATCCCACCCTACCCTGAGAGTCTACCTCTACGTCAAGACAAACTCTCCATGCAAAGATAGGGAGCAAATACATTGACAGGGCTGCCACTTCATTTGGGGACTCTAAAACTGAAAACACGGAATCACTGCTAATGTATTTGCTCCCTATCTTTGCATGGAGAGTTTGACTTGATGTAGAGGTGGACTCTCAGGGCAGGGTGGGGTATCCCCTCCATTTTGGCCTCAACCTGAGAGCTTTTTTTGAGCTTGGGAGTTGATTTCAGAGAAAACCAGTGGCACCATCGTGTTTCTCGCGTACTTTTACATATGAATCAATAGTCAAATCGCTAATTCCTCACACATGTAACATCTCCATTTAGGTAGTATTTTTTAAGTTGAGCAGTATCTGCATATGAGAAAATTGATTCATGGAAGCCTGCAGTATGATAGGCTATTTATTGTGTTTATAAATTATGGTTTTTAATAAGAAGTCTAAAGTGTGAGTGATTCTAAAAATCTGAGAAAGTTGCCTAGTTCGGAATGAACAGTATACTTCCTCCCGAACTTATACTAGAAGGTCATAATATTCTCAAGAAGATAGTAAATTGATCTGTAACAGCCCTATCGATGTTCTTATCGTGTAGCTTTGACTTTTTTCTAAGGAGCGAATCTTAGGAGAGCTTATACATTTCGTAATGAAGTTTCATAAAATCAACTTTTTTGTAGTGTAATTTTTTTTTTAGCTCTACTGCGTCAACGAAATGAATGAAAAATACAAATACAATTCGGATTGCACGTGCCAAAAGCGAGATTAATTATTTTATACATGCTTAAGAGTCGCTTTCACAGCGCTTTGGCGCTTAGTGACACCTAGCCGCCAAAAGTCCCATTTTCTCCCAAAGCCCTCATTTTTTGGTACTTTCTTATTTCTTGCAAAGCCTCGTGTCGTTATCCTTGTACTGGGTGTTCTTTCATATCCTCTCAGGAGGAATCCTCATTATTTCATAATATTCATGATTCCAGTTGTATGTATCGCACATCTCGTAATGGCTCAACTGTAATCAATATTCTCTTTTTCTGGTCGAGTACAGATTTAAAAACCATTCATTTGTATTCGTATATGAGAAAAATCATAATCAACTGTTGTGAATTCATTTTCTGAACGTAATATTTAAGGAAATGTTTGAGCACATACATTTTTGCGACTGTGCAACGAGAGTGATTTCTCGGCTTGTTGTTAGCCAAGATCCAAAATCTCCTGAAGTACATAAATATGCCAGATTGCTCTGTTTTTCAAGTTTGTCACCGTCTCGTTGTCTGAGAATGGCTTCAAGGTTAATATTGTTTTTTATGTCGCGGAAATGAAATTTTTTATGGTATGTAACAATAATTGTTTGCCCTTTTTTCTACATCTGATTTTATGATAATTTTG